TCCCTCTCCCCCTTCCACCGGCAGCTGGCTGGGTGGCATGTGTGTGGCCTGCACATGGCGGGCACCACCACACTGTGCCCGTTATCACTTGCTCACAAAGCCCCCCACAGAGGGGCACCCCTGCCCTTACCCCCGGCCCTGCTCCCAGCTGCGATGTGCTGCCTGGGGCCGGCAGCACCCCTGCTCCCTCAGCCCCCAACCATCTTCCCCAGCCCTGCCCCATAGTCCCACTTACCTCCATGATCCAGGGCCAAAGGGCAAGTCTGAGCCTGAGTCTGGTCTTGGCTGCCTCAGAGGCTCAGGCCCCGCCCTCCCCCGTCTCCTTCCCCCTCCGGCCAGGGCTGGAGCTGTGCCAGCCTGCAAGAGCTCTTTGCAAAAGTGGAGAATCCGCAGATTTCTCTGCTAAAAAGATAAATCCGCATTTTCCCTGGTAAAAACAGGGAATCTGTGGTTTTCTCCATTTTTCCGTGGGAAACAGAAAACCTGGATCCCTGATGATCAGAGACTTGCACAGCAAGCCATACAAGGAAAGGCAGAGAGACCTGGGACTCTTCAGCCTGAAAAATAGAGGGCTGAGAGGGGACTTGGTAGATTTACTACCTGGTGACAGCTGCCAGGCTGTGTGGGAGTGAATCTTCTGCAGGGACCTACAGAAGAAGCACAGAGACCTAAACAAGCGGGCAGCCCACCGGACACTTCCTGTGAGGGCATGGAAAACCAGTGCAAGGCAGAGAGGTCCACTGAACTGCCAGAGGCCGACCCGCCGCTGGCAGGCAGAAATGATCGACCACCTCTTCTGGGACTGTCCATACACCAGGGAAGTGTGGGAGAAAGTCTGTGCGCTGCTCCTGGTGGTGACAGGTGTCAGAAACCTGACTAGGGAAGAGGTACTTACTTGGCAGGAGAAACACCATGTATCTGGGTTCATGAAGGCAGTTTTTCTTAAGCGTTCCGGGGATAACATTTTCTGGCATTGTTTAGTACAGGGGTGTCCAACCTTTTTCAATGTGGGGACAGATCACAAACTTTTTATCACCCAGTGGGCCGGCAAGCTACATTCAAAGACCTCACAGAAAGTGGTATCGCATCAGGAAGTGATGTCACGTGACCTTTGACACCAATGAAGTTGCAGGAAGTGATAATAATAAAGCCAGCTTCCCACGTGCTGCTGGGGATGGGAGGAGCCCGGCCGGGTGGGCACCAGCCAGCAGAAGTGGCGGCGGAGCCATGTGCCGCGTGGGATGGGACGAGCCTGGCCAGAGCAGCAGGGACTCAGCTGCGCTTTCCCTCTGCGGGTGCCTCCCCGGCCAGGCCCCTCCCATCCCCAGCAGCACGTGGGAATCCGGTTTCAGCTGCATGCTGCTCTGGATGGGACAGACTCGTCCGGGTCAGCACCAGCCAGCAGAATCAGTGTTGGAGCCGTGTGCCGCTCGGGACTGACTGGCACAGGTAGGGGGAAAGCGCAGCTGAGCCCCTGCTGCTCCGGCCGGGCTCATCCTGTCCCGAGAGGCACATGACTACTCCTCTTCCCACGTGCACCACATCAGCAACATCAAGCTGAGGCGGTGCATGTGGGAACCTTGTCCCTTCCCCAGTCCTTCAGCAGCCATTAGGAAGCTGCTGGGGGAGGGACAAGGGGTGGGAACAAAAGTATACCGTGTTTACCTTCATTTCCCATCACAGCAGCATGGGCCACAGAAAACGGCTTGGTGGGCTGCATGGCGGCCCACGGGCCATATGTTGGACAAGCCTGGTTTAGTACCTGCCGAGGTATTGGGCTTAAAGCGCACGTTATGGAAATGTGAGGCTCCTCCCTAGCTTGCTCCTGCAGCCATATGGCTGAAGGCAGGTGAAACTTGGTGGCATCTGAACCCCAAGCCTTTGGGCTTGGGCCTGCACATAAGATGCCTGGCAAAAGATGTTGGAAATATCTGAAGCCCCTGGTGTGGGTGGAGGATGTTTGCTGGTTGCAGGGCCACTTATGGTTCTGGACTGACTCATGGATTTGGACTTGATTTGGCTTGGAACACAAAAAAATTATTTAAAAAAAAAGTGTGGGAGTGAGTCTTCCACAGGGACCTGCAGAAGAAGCACAGAGACCTAAATTGGCAGGCAGCCCATCGGGCACTCCCTGTGCGGGACAGCACAGGGCAGAGAGGTCCATCAAACTGCCTGTGACTGACCTATTGCTGACAGGCAGAAACATTTGACCACTTCTTGTGGGACTGCCCATATGCCAAGCAGGTGTGGGGAAAAAAGTCCGTGCACTCCTCCTAGTGGTGACAGGTGTCAGAAACCTGACCAAGGAAGTGGTTCTCTACGGGCACCTGACCAGACAGCAAGGGGCCCCGGCAGCACACTTCAACTAGTTCAACTCCTGCTTTAGGTCTGCACTGTGGAAAACCAGGAACCTGCTCACAAATAGACCCCAAAGTCAAGGACTGTATTTAAATGGGACTAAGTGAAATGTACTGGTACTACAGAAAGACAGAAGAGGATGACGGGAAAGAAATAGCAGACCTCATCTGGTGGAACCTCAAGGATTCTGGCATAGACTTTTTCAGGATTAGCCCCTCTGAGGAGGGCAGTGGGTGGACCTTCCAGCCCAGGTCCTACCACCATGGGTGCAGGCTGGGTGATAAGGATCTCCCAGCATTGACCCCATGACCCCAGAACTTATCTCCCACCCCTGGGCCACCCAGCCCCTGCTCTCTCCACTCCCCAGTCATGGAGAGGGGGCTAAAAGGTCCCTGCTGGATGGGGCTGGGGACCCTATTCCCTAACCAGCTCCATGATTGCAGATCTGGGCAGGGAACAAGCTCTCCAGCCCCAACCCTGTGATCCCAGAGGCTGGGAACTGTCCCAGTCAGGGGCAGGTGCTAGCCCCATGACCCAATTGGGTGATTGAGGCACAGGGCTTGGAAAGAGTTGCAGGGCTGGGGCAGGTCCCAGCCCCCTGTCCACCCGTGGGGCTCACTGCTAGCTTCCCCACTAAAAGATCAGGGCAGGGGCCTGGGACCTGCCCCTCCCCTATGGCTCTTTCCAAGTCCTCTGTCCCTGATTGAGAAACCAGGGCCATGAACTCCCTGCTGCTGGGGCAGTCAGGAGACAGCTCTCTCCTGGCCTGCTGCTCCCTACCAGCCCCTGGGTTAGCACCCAGGGAGAGCCTAGAGCCAGGGGCAGGAGCAGATTGCTGCCATGAGCAGCAAATCTGCTCCCAACACCCTGTACATGTAGACACCTGTCCAGGAGCATTTACTCCAAGTCGTTTACTCATGAGTAAACTGCTCCTGTATCAAATGCATGTGTAGACACACCCACTGAGAATCAGGTTCAAGGCACTCAAGGGCAGGTGGGGCTCAAGTCCCCTAGCTTCCCAAGTGAGTAGCCTATGTGCAGAATGGGCATGTGCACCACCAGCAAGGCATACACAGTAGTGTATGTACTGGCTAGGCAGCCAGGAATAGAAATCCTGCTTTTGGGTAAGTGGCAGTTTTGGCACTTAGATGGCCAAAAATGCCATCAAAATTGGTCACTTAGATGAATGGGAAGGGAATAGAGTGCTACCCTTTGCCTCCAGGATGTGGAAGGCTGATCAGGTGGTTGAGATTTCACCAGTATTAGCTTCAGACAGCTGTTAGCTGTAGTGACTGTCTTTCCAGAGAGCAGCCTCATTCTTGGAGGAGTCCTGTCAGTGCCGCTGGAGGCCTCTTGGTGGAGCTAATGATACTGTTAAGCAAAAATCATGAGTTAGATTCAGAAATCAAAAAATTGGCTAAAAAAAAAAAAATCACCATTTTTTTTCACCGCCTGAATTGTAGTTTTGTTCTGTTTCTGGTGTTTTGAACACTTCCTACTTCTCTATGTGTGAGGCATATCCTTTTGCAAGGTCTCCCACACCTATTGAGGTGGTTTTGGAACTTTCACCCCCCCATATTAACCCCCCTTCCATGAACCAAATCAGTCCCATCTTCCAGTCCACCTCCACATCTTCCCCTCAGGTAGTTTTGCAATGCTTTTTCCCACATTTGGTAGGGAGCTGCAGTAGGGTTCCCTCTCCCCAGTATAGGAAGGAGGCAGCTCCAGGGGCTCTCAGCTCCCACACCTCTGTCCCTATGCCAGCTGTTGCAGGGGCAGAAGCAAAAAAGCTGAGCTGTTGTTTCCAGGAGGGATGGAAGAAGGAGGGAATGGAGATGTTATGAGCTGCTACTCTTTGCACTTTCAGGGCTGGAGACCATTGTACCTGAAGCAACACCTGAGTCTGGGTTCCTGCCCTGGAAGCCTGATTTGTGAGAACTGTGAATGGGTTGAATCTGCATGTGTGAATCCTAAGGTACTTTCTGTTGAATCTGCTAATGCCAATGCATGTAAAGTTTTACTTTTTGTTTCTGATATAATCAAAGCTGTTTGCTGGAGGCTGTACTGCTTTGGGCATTTTCCCTGGTAACTTTGGATTCAGGGTGTCAGCTTCAGTCTTTAGCTCTGCCACAGACTCCCTGCATAACTCTGGGCAAGGTGTTTAGCCTCTCTGTGTTTCCATTTCTCAGCTGTGAAATGGAGATAACAATCCTGCCCTGTCAGGAGCTTGTGAACATAAGCAAGCTCAGGTGCTCAGAAGCTGTGGTAGTGAGGAGGGTCCTATGAGTAGATAGGGGGTGGTAGACTGGTATCATGCAGAGACAGTTGAAAGGACAGTGCCAAGTGTCCGAGTGCTGGACAAGGGGTTCCTAGCCTGCATCTAATTTGTCTGTGCACGGTCCCTTGGTACGTATGGCTGTGCCTGATGCAGAGCTGTGCATTTGAACTGGAGTATGGAAAGTTTCCCTGTACTTGGGCAATATTAATTCCATATTCATGCACATGGAGAGGCCCATATTCATGCACAAGGAAGGGCCCTTAATGGCCCTTCCGCTCAGACACTGCTGGATAGAAGAATGCCA